ACTATCTAGCACAATTATTATCTTATTACTTCTTTTCTATTACCTATCTAGGACATTTGAAGCCTTCCAATGGGAAAAAAAAATAAAATTGCACAATAGAAATGTGAGTTGAGTTTCAAGATCACTTTCTGATGTATCCAGTGATAATCTTAAGATGCCTGTAATTCTGTACGTTATAAAATATATCTGATAAAATGAAAAGTGATATTGGATAAAATAGATGGATTTATAAGTACAAGAAGTTTTTGTTTCATTCTTAGGTGGGTTTTATGGAAGGGGAAGAAGAAAACCTGTCAGTGCAATTTGTATAAGAAGTAAAGAGAAATGAAAAGGATCATTAATTTATGTTACATTTACCATTCTCTGGTGTCTCTTACTTTCTTATTGTGCCTTTCTAAATAAGAACTTAGGGTCTTTTGAAAAACCATTAGAGAGCATGGAACAAGGACTAGAATGTGGCTAGATGACATTTTAAATGATAACAAAGATGTATTTTATATGCTATTTTTTTCACATGACAAGTCAAAGTTAATGTTCTACCTAAGAAGGATTTGAAGCTAGGCAGAGGGAAAGCCATGTTCCCTTGAGCCAGGAGTCAGGGCCTCACTCAGGTGTGAGTTTAGAGCAGGACCACCAGCAGAGTGCAGTAGTTAGGGATGCACCCTGAGCTGGGCTAGGAGGCCTTAACAAAAGCTGTTTCATCGTCTGGGCCTCCAGGCCTCATCTGTAGGACACAGAGACTACATTGACAGTCCTTCCATAGGGCTTCCCGGGCTAAAACGAGCCAACACTGGGGAAGCCCCTGAGACAGTGCCCATCTGTGTCACGACGTGCAAGACACATTCTCATCAGTCACCCTCTCATCCTTGGTTTTGCCTTTAAACTGGTGTGGGATTTCGCTCAAACCCCTAAACTCTCCCAGGCCCTCGTATCCCCCATGAAATTTGAAGATGGTAGTACTTGACACCCCTTCAGAGAGCTATTTGGGGACTTTAGACCTGCTTATGTGTGTGTGTATCCTTGCGTATCCAAGGCTGGAGGAATCACCGAAACTTAAACCATTGCTGCATTTCCCCCCAAAAGAGCAGCTCTAGATAGTGGGGTAACAGATGTGGCATCAGCAGCCTTGGGTTTTGTAAACAGTCAAAACTCTGACTCTGATCAGCCTGGGAGAAATGAGAAAGGCCAGTCTTCCTGGGATGTGAACCCTGAGGGGCAAGGCTAATTACCGTGGTGCCCCACTGAGCTGTTCATCCATCGGGGCGTCTACATTGCTAACGATGTTAAACCGGGAAGCCTGTGAGATCTTGTGTTGCAGTGTGGTTTGGCCCTAGCGTTCTTGCATGCTCGCTCAGGGTAGAAGATTAGCCTGTTTGCATGCAGCCTGCAGGCGGACGCTGCCTTGACGTGAAGCATGTTCTGGGAGCTTGACACACCCCTTGGCTGAACTCCTCCCCAGAGCTGTCGGGCCTCATTCACCGGGGTACGTGCATAACCCCCTTCCTCATCCATTTCACTAACCCCGACGGGCATTCTCCAGTTTAGCAATGCGCTGAACAGTGTGCTGCACGGACTCACCTAAGCCTGGATCTTTCTGATCTCTCTAGATACTAGGTTGAAAAAGCTTGTCGACGAACGGGAATGCTTATTGGAACAGGTAACTAACTTTTTATGACCTTATAAGTTCCCAAACAGGGAAACCACGAACTTCTCCATCCTTACTTCCTACTTATCAGAAAACCCCTAAATACACCATGCCCAAAAAGAATTGTCAAGCCAATGGGTGTTTGTAATATTTTTATCTAAATAGGCCATTTTTGGTCACAGGAGACTAGTGAGGATGTCTCAAGGACTTAGTTCCATGGAACAGAATTTGGTACATTCTGCATGAACTGCAGCTTAAAATTCATATGAATGTGGACAGAGGCCAAATTAGCCATAGAGAGGCAAGGGCTTACTGAGTCCTCCCAAACACCACCTCTTACTTCTCGTCCACGAAAGTCAGCTTTGTACTTATCTCTGCAGGTTATTTCTTTGTTGATCACGTTGTGATAACTGTGGCTTATCCTTAGCACCCTCACCTACCTCCAGAAATACCCTGCAGTTGTCCTTCTTTTTGTATGCAGGGTAGTTTTTATTTTTATTGATTTTTATTTTATGTTATTTTACAGGATACTTTTTAAATCATTCCATAACCACTTTCTTTTTTTTTCTTCTTAGAATTATTTATTTCATTCCCTTTGTTATTTTTCAATTTGACCAGAGAGAGACAGAGAGTGAGAGAGAAAGGGAAATTGAAAAAGCAAGCTGCCAGGTCTGGGACTTGAACCACAATCAGCTATGTGGGAATCCAGTGCCTTTAACCACCATGCCCCCTGTTAGCCCCTCCATAACCACTTTATAAGAAAATTCAGTTCCTCTAAAGTTCCTTCACAAGCCTAATCAAATGTATTAGCCTTACTGTTTAAATATTTTAACAGATTTTTAATTAATTTTTTGGGGGGGCCGGAGGCCATATGTGCTCACCAAAGAGACAGAGAGACAAAGAAGAAAAGGAGAAAGCACCCCCCTCAATGGGGCATTGGGGGCATGCACATGCACATGCTCAAAATGGTTTGTTTTTTTTTTTTTTTAAACTGCATAGTTCACCATGTGGGATCTGACTCACTTAAATACCAGGCCATTGGTTAGGCCAGCCCTTCTTTTTTATTTTTAAATTGTTTTTTCAGGACCACCAGATGGCATAGCAGTTAAGTCGTTGGACTTCCGCATGGCTGGCCACAGTTCAAGCCCCAGACCTGGTGGCTTGAAAATCACACCAGGCACGTGTGCATGCGTGCCCAAGATCCCAGGAGGAGAATAGAGGAAAAAGGATTGCAGTAAAAGAGCAGCTCTAGATAGTGGGGTAACAGATGTGGCATCAGCAGCCTTGGGTTTTGTAAACAGTCAAAACTCTGACTCTGATCAGCCTGGGAGAAATGAGAAAGGCCAGTCTTCCTGGGATGTGAACCCTGAGGGGCAAGGCTAATTACCGTGGTGCCCCACTGAGCTGTTCATCCATCGGGGCGTCTACATTGCTAACGATGTTAAACCGGGAAGCCTGTGAGATCTTGTGTTGCAGTGTGGTTTGGCCCTAGCGTTCTTGCATGCTCGCTCAGGGTAGAAGATTAGCCTGTTTGCATGCAGCCTGCAGGCGGACGCTGCCTTGACGTGAAGCATGTTCTGGGAGCTTGACACACCCCTTGGCTGAACTCCTCCCCAGAGCTGTCGGGCCTCATTCACCGGGGTACGTGCATAACCCCCTTCCTCATCCATTTCACTAACCCCGACGGGCATTCTCCAGTTTAGCAATGCGCTGAACAGTGTGCTGCACGGACTCACCTAAGCCTGGATCTTTCTGATCTCTCTAGATACTAGGTTGAAAAAGCTTGTCGACGAACGGGAATGCTTATTGGAACAGGTAACTAACTTTTTATGACCTTATAAGTTCCCAAACAGGGAAACCACGAACTTCTCCATCCTTACTTCCTACTTATCAGAAAACCCCTAAATACACCATGCCCAAAAAGAATTGTCAAGCCAATGGGTGTTTGTAATATTTTTATCTAAATAGGCCATTTTTGGTCACAGGAGACTAGTGAGGATGTCTCAAGGACTTAGTTCCATGGAACAGAATTTGGTACATTCTGCATGAACTGCAGCTTAAAATTCATATGAATGTGGACAGAGGCCAAATTAGCCATAGAGAGGCAAGGGCTTACTGAGTCCTCCCAAACACCACCTCTTACTTCTCGTCCACGAAAGTCAGCTTTGTACTTATCTCTGCAGGTTATTTCTTTGTTGATCACGTTGTGATAACTGTGGCTTATCCTTAGCACCCTCACCTACCTCCAGAAATACCCTGCAGTTGTCCTTCTTTTTGTATGCAGGGTAGTTTTTATTTTTATTGATTTTTATTTTATGTTATTTTACAGGATACTTTTTAAATCATTCCATAACCACTTTCTTTTTTTTTCTTCTTAGAATTATTTATTTCATTCCCTTTGTTATTTTTCAATTTGACCAGAGAGAGACAGAGAGTGAGAGAGAAAGGGAAATTGAAAAAGCAAGCTGCCAGGTCTGGGACTTGAACCACAATCAGCTATGTGGGAATCCAGTGCCTTTAACCACCATGCCACCTGTTAGCCCCTCCATAACCACTTTATAAGAAAATTCAGTTCCTCTAAAGTTCCTTCACAAGCCTAATCAAATGTATTAGCCTTACTGTTTAAATATTTTAACAGATTTTTAAGTAATTTTTTGGGGGGGCCGGAGGCCATATGTGCTCACCAAAGAGACAGAGAGACAAAGAAGAAAAGGAGAAAGCACCCCCCTCAATGGGGCATTGGGGGCATGCACATGCACATGCTCAAAATGGTTTGTTTTTTTTTTTTTTTAAACTGCATAGTTCACCATGTGGGATCTGACTCACTTAAATACCAGGCCATTGGTTAGGCCAGCCCTTCTTTTTTATTTTTAAATTGTTTTTTCAGGACCACCAGATGGCATAGCAGTTAAGTCGTTGGACTTCCGCATGGCTGGCCACAGTTCAAGCCCCAGACCTGGTGGCTTGAAAATCACACCAGGCACGTGTGCATGCGTGCCCAAGATCCCAGGAGGAGAATAGAGGAAAAAGGATTGCAGTATGACCATCCCCCTAGGAAGTGATTTCTCACTTTCCTTCTCACTATGTCTATGTCTCCCAGGAATGCATGCGCCCAAAGGTAAAAACCTCTTTAAAAAATTGTTTTTTCACTACCAGTAGGCACTTGTGCTCACCAGAAAGAAACAGAGTGAAAGTTAGGGAGAAAGCACCCCCAAAAAAAGGTGTGGTCATGCCACAACCCTTTTCCTTCATTTCTCCATCCCATTGGGATCTGGGGCCACGTGTGACACATGTGTTCCCAGTATCTTTTTCAAGCTGCTGAGGCCAAGATCCATGTGGAATACTCCTCCCTTAACCACTGGCCTGTGGGTCCTGCCCTGTTTACCTTACTTTTTACAATTCTGTTTAAGATTCTCTCAAAATTGGATAAAGCACTAAATGTAGAACTTCTCTTGAAGTTCCTGTGATGTTTTAGAAATATGTACTCATTGTCATTTTAGAGTTTCCTTTTTTTCTTAGGTTTTTGCCATGGGGTGCATGTGCTCGCCAGAGAGAGAAAGAGACAGTAAGAAAGGGAGAGGGAAAGTGAGAAATCAGCCCCTAGCGGGGATGGCCATGCTGCAATCCCTTTTCCTCCTGGGACTTTGGGCACACATGTACATGTACCCAGTCTGATTCTCAAGCTACCAGATCCAGGACTCAAACCACAGTCAGCCATGTGGGAGTCCAACACCTCAACCACCATGCCATCTGCTGGCTCCAGACATTTTCTTAAAGCAGCAGGTACGGGTGGTTGGTATTAACAGGGGATCTGCTATGCTTGGAATGTGTGTGGTGAAGCAGGTAAGGAAAATGTGATCACCTCTAATAGGTCCGCAGAGATGGGGAGTTACACATGAGGGGGTTGGGAGACTCCCGCAGACACCAGGCAGTTCTATAGTCATGGCCATCAACTACAATCCCAACTATACGCATTTCTCTCTCCTAAAGAGGGGAAAGCCACATAGAGGCCAACTCCCTGAGAGCTGGCAGGCCTCCTCTGAGCGCACCTCTACGTGCCTGGGTACAGTGAGAAAGCACACAGTTTTCTGGGGATTTTGCTGTGCTCCAAAGGCTCCAGGTGGCCCTTTCTAGCTTCTTGGTGAATAAAGCATAGATTAACTACTGACTTGATAACTCTTAGATAAATAGTTATTTTATGTACAATTTCCTCCTGAATCCAAGAGGAATTTCAACCTTAGAAATACCCTTTCACGTGGGACCAGCAGTTAGCGTAATGGCTCTGCCACTGAACTCCCACGTAGCCGACCGCAGTTTGAGTCCCAGACCCAGTGGCTTAAACTCACGCTGGGCGCATGTGCGTGCGTGCCCAGGGTCCTGAGAGGAGAATGGAGGAGAAGGGGTTGCAGTGTGGCCATCCCCCCTGCGGGGTGATTTCTCACTTTCTCTCTGTCTCTCTCTGTCTTTCTGGCGAGTGCATGTGCCCTATAGCAAAAAAACTTCTCAAAAAAAAAAAAATGAAAAAGAAATACCCTTTCACGTAGAGTTACAAAATAATTCATGCCTGATATTGTAAAACTGATTTCCTTTCATTCATTATACTACTTATTTCCATGAAGAGTACTAATTGGCAGAGATTTTTCTTTTTCCTTAAACTTTATTTATTTCCTCCATGAACAAGAAAGACAGAGAGAGAGAGCACCCTCAACAGGATCTTGATGCCACGGTCCAACGCCAATTTTAGCCAGCCCCAGATCTCGGCCACACATTGCCTGACATACTCATGGAGGTCTCCAGGTGTGAACTCAGGACCTTCCCGTCTCACAAGGGTCATATTTCACCACTGTCTGGCCCCCAGTTTTTTTTTTATTGATTTGGGTTTGTTTCTTTATTATAAAGGAGACATTCCCTGCCTAGCTGTTAGGCTTTTCAGTAGGTTGTAATCTTTTACTACATTTCTCTTGCTTCATTATGTAGTTCTGTCTCTGACACCCTAGAGATGCATTCAGTAATTGCAAGGCGGGGAGTGGACTGTACTTCTGGAGCGTTGGTTTTTACTTTACATGTTGCGTCTTTTCTGAAAGGCTTTAAATTCAGCTTTTCAGTCTGAATTTAGAACAGAGAAATTAACATATTTCACTGGTGGGTGTTTTCAGATTAAGAAACTCAAAGGTCAGCTGGAAGACAGACAGAAGAACAGCAGACTGGACAACCTGCGGTCCGAGGAGGGCGTCTTGGAAGATGGGATGAACACGCATGTAATGGATCTGCAAAGTAAATGTCGACTCTCACGTAGAAGTAAACTCTAACATGTGCTACAGACTTTTATAGTGTGTGTGCTGGAGGAAAACCAAGTGCCCCCCTTTGCCCCTTCTGAAAGCCCTTGACCATGAAAACACAACGGTGTTTATTTGTGGGATAGAACAAGGATGAGCAAGTAGCAGGGCAGGTCGGGTGTTTCTCTCCAAACCTGTGAAATAGAACAGGTGCCCCACAAATGTGTACCAAGATGCCACCGTATAAAGTGCTGACAGAAACACATTTACTTTGCTGGATGTAGCAGGTTTAGATCTGCTGATTGTATGGGGAAAAATTGAAAAAAAAAAAAAAAAGTTCATGTCAATAAACTGTAAACGTAGGCCAGCTGGTGGCCTGGGTTTAAGGCGAGTAGACCCCACATGGCTGATAGTCCCAGACCCTGTGGCTTGAAAAACACACCAGGTGCATGTGTGTAGTACCCAGAGTCCTGAAAGGAGAATAGAGGACAAAGGATTGTAGTGCGGCCATTCCCCCTGGGGAGGTACTTTCTCACTTTCTCGTTCTTTTTCTGTCTCTTCCCAGTGAACACACATGCCCTATAGCTAATTAGAAATGTAAATAAATAAATTAGAAACTGAAAGGAGATAAAATAATGCCCAGTCTCTCTCCCCCTTTTCTCCTCCCCTTCCCCCACCATCTTTGTCTTCCTCACTCACAGGCACTCTCTTGCCTGGGGTCTCCCATCCTCTTGCACAGGGGCCCAAAGGCACTTTCCCAGCCTGGTTCATGGGGAGAGAACACCTTCTCCTGTCCTCAGCTCTGGCAAGTTGTAGAACCACAAGCCAGAATTTACAGATTTGCGAGATCAGAATTTGCAGATTTACAAGATGACTATAAAGTAAGGGCTTGGTTCCCAGTAACTTTTGTTTATCATTTTAAAAGCCCACGAGCTTAACAGATTTTCCTTCTCTTTCAACCTTTAGGGGATGCCAACAGACAGATCAGCGACCTCAAATTTAAACTTGCAAAATCTGAGCAAGAGATAACTGCATTAGAACAAAATGTACGTGCATACTTTAAGCAATGATGGGCACCTAAACTGGTGATTAAGTGACGTTTTCCTTGCTAGAAGTAGTCCCTGACAGGCTGAGGACAAAAACAGAAACATAATTCTAACATCACAAAGTGATGAGGGAGTAAGTGAAGACAAGTTTCTCAGGGTCATCCTCACAGAGAAGCCACGTGGGAAGGCGAGCGCATTACAAAGACCGAGTTAGCTGTAGTACACGCTAGCCTGTTGTAATCAGTGGTCTAGTTGCCGGAAGGAACTAATGTGGTTTGGGAATGGTTTTGAATGATGGACTCCAAAAATAATTTGCTGGGATGCCCTTCATCCCTGGACACACAGCCTTTTTCTCCCAGCAAGACGAGTTCTTCCTGTGCTTAGACTTGGGGCACACCTGCCTCTAGCATGGTAGACCTTAGAGCAATTTGTGCAAAGAGAAAGGAAAAAAACAGGTGCTCTTCCCCCAGTTGTGGATATGTGTGGCTGGAACTTTGTAGAATGTTTGCAGAAATAGAAAGGAGAACAGCACACACAGGAAGTGGTCAGTTTCACGAAGCACGTGAGCACCACTCCTGTCTTTTGTCTCAGAACCTTGACTGGGGAATGCCATCCCAAAGCCTCCTCCTTTTCCTCCTCGCTCTCTCCTTCCCTGCTTCCCTCCCCACCACCCCCAGGAGAGATCAGACTGGCGCTGAGGTCCTAGTGGACCTTTGCCTGACCAGTACTGGTCTGCCTTGTTTTTCCCAGCAGGGCAGCCCAAGGGAGAGGCCAGGCACAGCTGGCAGAGAGCAGCACTCGGCTGGGGTCAGAGGGACGGAGGCCCTGTTGGTGGGGCCGCCCAGAAATAGGAACAGGGAGTTTGCAGAGCAGCCCAAAATGCCATCCCAGTTATCTGCGCTGTATATCCTCCCCGGTATTAAAATTACACCTTTTGGTGTCAAGTGTAATAAAGCAACTGAAGAAAGAAAAGTCCTAAGGATTGACACATATGGCTTTTTCCCTCCTGTTTAGGTAATAAGGTTAGAGAGTCAAGTATCACGTTACAAATCAGCTGCTGAAAATGCAGAAAAAATAGAAGATGAACTGAAGGCTGAAAAACGGAAACTCCAAAGAGAGGTAAATTCCTTAGGTTGTTTCTATCCATCTAGTTGGGACAGAAGGCAGGATGTGCTCCATTAAGGCCGCCACTGGGCAGTTCGTTGGCAGGCCATCCACGTCACTCTGAGATGCTGGCGTCTCAGTATACAGGCAGTCAGTTCAGCCACTTGGAAGTTCAGGCCCAGAACCGTCACAGCATCAACTACTCCAGCCATCAGTTAGACCATCTCCTGTGGGACTCGTCCATAAAGGTCAGGCAATAAGTGATAGAAAGGTTGTGGCCAGGCCTTTAGCACTTGGTACATTTTGTGGCTGGGGAGAGGAGACTGGGAGAACTAGGTCTGCTGTGGGGGAGATGGGGATGGCAGCTGGGTGGGGCCAGGACTGTCTGGATCACCCACGGGAAGCAGTCTCCCTCTTTAAAAATCTGTCTTTACCCACAGTTGCCTCTAGTGCTACCTCAGGACATATGTCCCTTGTAGCAGAGGGATGTCCCCTTGAAAGAGCTACCTACT